TCATAATTCTTATTCATTTATAATCAAAATATATACTATAAAAAAAATATATTATATGTAATTATTATTTTACAACTATTATTTAACTACTATTTAAGAATACTTCAATACCATAATAGAAGTAGTAAAAAGTGATTTAAGCTCTAATAATTTTGTTAATATATAATAATAATATAAATTTAATAATAATATAATATAAATATATTTAGTATTTTATATTATTATATATTTAATATTATTATTATTACTAAAAAAAGCATAAATTTACTATTTTATAGTTATTTATAAAATGAAGCAAATTTAAATTAATTTAAATTAATTCCCAATAAGTAATATAATTTTAAATCAAATCATCTAATGATTGATGAAATTAAAATTGAAATTTAAAAATTAAATAGAAGTTAATGAATAAATTAACTTTATATTTGATATACGTATATGATCTTATATACTCTATATCTATAAGAAAGTTTTTTTATTATATAAGTTATTTTTATTGAAATAAATTATATATTATGTTATGTTTATATAATAATATAATAATAACATAATAACATAGGTTTTCCATATATAAAATAATAATAAAATAAGTCATGCTATAATAGAACATACTAATTTTGAAGAATACCGTAGAATTTTGTGAAATTTTATAAAATTTTATTTTAATATAAAATATATCCTTAAATCAAAAATCTTTGTAAAAGATTGTATTTTGCTTTTATTAAGGTATTAATAATTTTTTATTATTTTATTGATCCATTTAAAAATATATTCAAAAGTATAATAACCATTTGTATTTCCAATAAGAATATGTAAAATATATACATATTCTATTCATGTCTCTATATAATATTGAGTATATAATATATATACTTTTATTATTAATTATAAAAATTTTAAATTGTAAATAAGATATATATTATAAGATATATAAAAACTATATAAGATAAATATTTGAAATAATTTGAATTAAAAATTTTAATGAAAAAATACATTATGTGTATAATTTTATCAAGATTTTATCTTATCATGATAAATATAGATTAATATAGATAAATATTTCCTAATATTTAATAAAAACAATTAATTAATGAATAAAATATATTGAAAATTTTCTTATATCTATAACTTTCTAGTATTTATCCAAAATGAAATTCAAACTTTCAAATTCTAATCTTAGAATAAATAAACAGATATCACAATTTAGATATCAATAGATATCAAAATAGATATTAAAATATTGTTTATTATTGTTGCAATATATACTTCTTGACATTTTCTATTGTAAATTTTTTATTGTAAATTTTTATATAATAAAATAAAAAATAAAATTTGTTCAATAGTTGGTACAAATTAATAATTTTGGAATATCGAGTTACATATATTATATTATAAGTTAAATTTTTAAAATTTGTCCTTACCAAGTGCATTTAATTTTATTTTATATTAAAACAAAAATGATTATTAGAAATAATACATACTATTTATTATATTATTCCGTTAATATCTTGAATAAATAATAATTTATAAAAAAAATATATTTTCATTAATAATATTTTATTACTTATTAATTATTAATAATTTCTATATAGTTCTACATTCAAAAAAATCAAGTTATATTTATGTTTATTTCATATATATATAAATTAAAATGAAATAAATAACTCATTTGATTACATATTGTATATAATTTATTTGATTATGTATTGTATATAATTCATTTGATAAATAATTTATTTGATTACGTATTGATATATAAAAACTAAACAATTTTTCGATTACTTACCACGTCTTGATAGTATATGTCTTAATAAACACTTGATTGTTCTCAATAATAATTATATATATGATAAAAAGTAATGAAAGAATCACTTATACACATATAATAGTTATCACAAATCACGTTATATCAATACACATAAATAATATAATATATTAGTACTAATTGATTTTAACATTTGAAGTTTATAAATCAAGAAACGAACTCCATCGTATCACTGTTCGACAAATACTAACCGGTGAGTCAGTGCGTCTGTCGCAGAAACTGCTATGATAGCGTGATACGTCAGACTTACTCAGAACATGCTTTTCGTTTGTAATCATTCAAGAATGTTGAATTGTCTCATTATGTACTTTACAAATTGTATTTTTAATTTATATATCTCGTTTACTTAAAGATTTATTTTGTGTTACATGAAACGATATTTATATGATAAAAAAAATCAATAGTAATTTTATTATATATATTTAAATTTTTATATTATAAATAATATATATAAATATATATTATAAATACAACTCATATAAATACATTTTCATACTTTGTATTTATTATTTACATTATAGCTTTAATAATATAATGAAACATAAAGAAAATGTAATATGTTTAGAAAGAAAGTTATATATATATGAACTATATATATATACATACATATGTTACAAATATGTATTCGAAAGAATCAAAATGAAAATTAAAAATTTGTTTTAATAATAGAAATGTAAATATCTAAAATGAAAGTCTATAATCAATATTATTTCTAACGGTATAGTACCGGTAAAGTCAGTAACAGGTGGCACTTGCGCTGTTGCACTTAACGCGCTAAAAACGATATGGTAATTTTAAAAGATATTTTTCATCTACAAAGTACATTGCTTTACACACACGCGCGCGCGCGCACACACACACACACACATCATGTTATTTTGTTATATTAGTTCTTTATAATTTCTCTAATATTTTTAATGTAACAAAAATATTAATAATTAAAAATAGATTAGAAATATTCTTAAAATAATGGAATTGAATTAATAAAAGAATTATATTAGAATATATATGGAAATTTTATACAACAGCGCATATATATATATATATATATTTGTATAATTCAAAGATCGAAAATATTCGAGTTTTTTTCGAAACCGCCAATGAGTGTCAATGATCGTTAAAAAAAATAACCACAACACATTCTGGCATGCGTGCTCGGTTCTTTTATGGTTAGTCTTTAAAGCAAATTTTAACCTAGATACATATCTCTCATCGGTTAGCATGTAATCGAGTTAAAAGTCATTAGTTATTCTACATGTTAATATTATTAATTTAAAATATTATTAAAATATCCTATAGATTGGATTAATTTAAAATATACTTTTAATAATAGGCATAATTATTCAATAATTATTGAATTTCTTTTTAACTTAAAATATTTGTCTCTAATTTATATTTATTTACATCTATTCTTATATTTATATTTATTTTATTTATATCTATTCTTATATTTATATTTATTTTATTTATATCCATATTTGTCAGTCAAGTATATTCTTAGATATTTTTTTGAAGAATTTATAAATTGATTTTTTCGGAAATTAAGCTTTATATTAAAAAAATTTTATTTTTCATTTTACATGTTTATTTTTACATGTAGCTATATCTATTTTTATATAATATATATACATCTATATATATTAATCATCTATTTTTATATAAAATTTATTTGAATATTTTTATAAATAGATAGATTCTCTAGTTTTGATCGTGAAAAAAAAAGAATATGTATTATATTACAATCAATTATTAATTATTTATATTGTTATTCAAAGACTTTTGCATTTATTACTTAAATAAATTATTAAATAAATAATAATGAATTATTTGAATAAATAAAGAAAATAATTTAATAGGAATAAAATGTAAAAAAAATATTTGACGAAAAAAAATTTATTTTGCTTATTTTATTATTTCAAATAAATATTTACTTAATGATTTTATTCTATTAAAAACAATGATTTGATTAAAAATGAAAATTAAGAACATATAACTTGTTGTGTTCTTCTTAAATTGTGTTAAATTGAAAATTGTAATTTATAACTTATTGTTTGTTAAAGAAATCTTTTATACAATTTTAAATTAAATAATTTTAGTTAACTTCGTTTTATTTTTATATTATTTTAAAAATAACATAGTTAGAAAAAATTTATTGTTAATATTATTTATCAAGAAATAGATATATAAATGAAATTAGAGCAGATTATTTTTAATTATTTTTGAAAATAAACTATGGAAATGATTGCATGAGATATAAAAATTTAAAATAAAAACCAATTCTAAGCAAAATCTCAATAATTTTTAAAGCAAATTATAATTCCTTCATTTTGAATTTTATTTAATTTTTTAATTTTATAATTTTTCTTTTTCAATTTGTTTTATTAATATTACATTAATCTATATTACAAATTAATATAAATTACATATCATATATCTATCATAAAAAAAGATAAAATAAAAAGAAACATAAAATATAAAAAAATTAATTAACTTTAATATTAAGTATCATGATGCTTTAATAAAAAAGACAATAAATTGTGAGTTTAGCATATTTTTTATTTTTATATTTCTACGATACAATTATTTTTATATTTACTGCTATGTATGTAATTATTACTTTATTATATATGAATTTATAATATGGTTTTTATTGTCAGTGATCAGTGATTTTTTGAAATAATCTTTATATACATAAGAGCAAAAAATTGCGATCAATTTATTTATAAAGATCTATTTGTATTCTATTTTATATAATTTTTTTTATTTATTTTTCAGCTTTTTTTTAATTTAATATTTATCTTAAAAAATTTATTCTTTCATGACGTTTTAGTATTTTTTTAATTTTACATCAACTTTTGTTTACATTATATTTTTACCAAATTTGATCAATTCTTATTTTAAATATTTCAATTTTTTAATTTAGATAATTTTTATATTAAATTAATTATAATAATTTATTTTTATTATATTTTTAATCAGGATATTTTTGTAAAACTTCCATGTATAGAAATCTATATTATACTTCAATTTTCGCGCCGTTAAAATAATTAGAAAACTACTCCAACCAATCAGAAAATTGCTAAAAAACTCCAACAAAGCAAATCAGTATACATCATAATACGCATGTCATCAGTCTACAGTTGAAAAGTACTGTGATAGGTAGATGTTTTGTTTTACCGGTAAATGTACGTAATTATATAAAATTTTTATTAGTAACATATTATATTACAATTATTAAGTTTAATTATAGATTATTTAATTAAGTCTTGTTTAATATTTATAATATTTATAGTATAATCACTATTATATGATGTTTTTACGTTTTTATTAAATTATCATTTGATTTTTCGAAGGCGAGATGGCTTTGAAAATATAATAGTTTTGTATATATTATCATAAATAAAAAATAATTTAACTTTTATGTAAATATGGATTTTATTTATTTTAATAGAAACATAGTTTTTATAAAGTTTTTATAAAGTTTTCTTTTGTCTTTTTATTTATATAAAGATAGAAGTAATAGTGAGATCATTATAATCGATATATTTTTATGTATATCTTTTATAAATATTCTATCCATTTATATTTTCTCTTTTTGTGATCCAAGGTTGAAAACATTTCTTATAGTTCAATCTTTCCAAAAAGTTGATGGTTTGCATTCGTACCATGTTCGACATTTCTAACTTGTCGAATTGTTAAGCATATTCCTTCTTCAATTTGTAATTCGATATATCGAAATTGCAAGATATTATTTTGTTATCGAAACTCGATAGTTAAATGTTTTGTTTCAAGTGATCTATCTATTGCGTAATTATTTAATAGTTATTTCTTTGCTTCTTATTGATTATTATTTTACTAATATTTATTTATTTATTGATTATTATTTATTTATTTATTATTATTATAAAAAATATAATTTTTTGAAGAATAATTTATAAAAATTTTCGAATATTTCTAATACGTTAAATATTTCTCTATATTTTTTAAATAATAATTTTAATTAAATTTAATTACAATAAACATACATAAAATCAAAATGAATGATTGTTCATTGATTATACAATATAAACGGACGCGTTTAAAACATTTCATAACAAGGTGTTTTTGAAATCAAAATACAAATTTTAAATTATTTTACATTTTCAAAAATGTTCTTCTATCAAATATGTTTTGATGGAGGAAATCTTCAAAAAAAAGCTTTGATTTGCTTGAAAATATTTTCATTAATATTTAAATCAATTACTTTATTGAATTATTTTTTGATCATTTTTTTAATGGATATATTCTATTTAAATTAATAATTTTTTCTATAAAATATTAAAATTTCAACATATAAAAAAAAACATATAAAAAATACAACATATAAAAAAAATATGAAATAGAATAGTAAGATTATATAAAATCAATAGTTTGTCAGATATTAACAAATATTTATACTAATCCATTTTTTAACTCAGGATTTAATCTCTTTCGTATTCATTGCCAAGATCTTATTTATCTAAGTGCTAATTGGGTAGGATAAGATAAAAGTGATAGATATGATTATAAATTATCCTAATTTTAATTTTTTATTGATTTGATATCTATTTATTATTAAAAATTGAATTTATTTTCTTTATTATATTATTATTTTCTTATTATTATTATTATATTATTATATTTGCGTTACAATTAAAATATTAAGATATTTGAAATAGTTTTGAATAATGCGTTGAAGAATGATTTTATGATATTTTTTATAATAGTGTTGCGTTTTCAGATTGGCAACTGGCAACATATATATATATATATATATTTATATTTATATATATTTTTTTCACTTAGATTGTGGAAGTATGATTACTAATAATAAACTAAAAAATTGCACAGAAGTCGTTGTATTGTGGTAATCTTTGTAATTTTCTACTATTAGTATTGCGTAAAATGTAAGTGGTAAAATTTCG